TATTAAATTGATTTTGAGTCACTTTAAAATAATCTCTAACTCGTTCTTTGTCTAATCCAACGACGTTATGAAAACTCGCGGCTATTAACGAGCGTTTGACACATCCGTTTCCCCTCAATGTTTTGTAATTAACGAGCTCGTTATATTTATTGATTGTTTCTTGGACATCTTCTGAGTCTTGCTCTGGACACACCGACAAAATAAGTTTTTCCACAGTTTTTCTTTTGTTTCTTTTTAAAATTGACCAATTGATACGATCTTCTTGCGCATTTTCTGCCGAAAAATCAAAATAACGTGAAACTATTTCACCGCACGTTTCACAAATTAAAAAACCATTCTCGATGATTATATGATGATCGCACTTGTCCCCAAGTTGCGGCGCCTCAAAGTATTCCATCTATTTAATAAACTTTAAATAAAAATGATTGCATTTTTAAATAAAGAATTAAATATCGCCCTCTGTTTCTTTATATAATTGAAATCAGATCTCTTAGTGCCCGTTAATAGCGCCCTCTGTTTTTTATCGGTACAATAACCCTTATCATAAAATTAAATACCGCCCTCTGTTTATAATACCTCACCACCAATGAATGGCGCCCTCTGTTGATTTCTTTTATTATAATTGCACTTGGACTCGATAAATCGATCATTTATTATACCGCCCTCTGTTTATATTATTTTGATATCCATCACCACACAGAAATAGCGCCCTCTATTGATTTTGTATTATAATTGAACTTGGACTCGATAAAACTATCATTCATACGTTCTCTTTATTTGATATTCATATATTATAATTTATACAGTAAAAAGCCACTCCGAGTGGCTTTTTCGTTGTTATTCAAATTAACTCATTTAAATAGCTTTTCATACATCTTAATATATACAGTAAAAAGCCACTCTGAGTGGCTTTTTCGTTGTCATTCAAATTAACTCATTTAAATAGCTTTTCTGACATCTTAATATATACAGTAAAAAGCCACTCCGAGTGGCTTTTTCGTTGTCATTCAAATTAGCTCTTTTAAATAGCTTTTCATACATCTTAATATATACAGTAAAAAGCCACTCTGAGTGGCTTTTTCGTTGTCATTCATATTAGCTCTTTTAAATAGCTTTTCATACATCTTAATATATACAGTAAAAAGCCACTCTGAGTGGCTTTTTCGTTGTCATTCATATTAGCTCATTTAAATAGCTTTTCATACATCTTAATATATACAGTAAAAAACCACTCCGAGTGGCTTTTTTGTTGTTATTCAAAGTAGCTCATTTAAATAGCTTTTCATACATCTTAATATATACAGTAAAAAGCCACTCCGAGTGGCTTTTTTGTTGTCATTCAAATTAGCTCATTTAAATAACTTTTATTACATCTTAATATATACAGTAAAAAGCCACTCGGAGTGGCTTTTTCGTTGTCATTCAAATTAGCTCTTTTAAATAGCTTCTCATACATCTTAATATATACAGTAAAATGCCACTCCAAGTGGCTTTTTCGTTGTCATTCAAAGTAGCTCATTTAAATAGCTTTTCTGACATCTTAATATATACAGTAAAAAGCCACTCCGAGTGGCTTTTTTGTTGTCATTCAAATTAGCTCATTTAAATAACTTTTATTACATCTTAATATATACAGTAAAAAGCCACTCCGAGTGGCTTTTTCGTTGTCATTCAAATTAGCTCATTTAAATAGCTTTTCTGACATCTTAATATATACAGTAAAAAGCCACTCGGAGTGGCTTTTTCGTTGTCATTCAAATTAGCTCATTTAAATAGCTTTTCTGACATCTTAATATATACAGTAAAAAGCCACTCGGAGTGGCTTTTTCGTCGTCATTCAAATTAGCTCATTTAAATAGCTTTTCTGACATCTTAATATATACAGTAAAAAGCCACTCCGAGTGGCTTTTTCGTTGTCATTCAAATTAGCTCATTTAAATAGCTTTTCTGACATCTTAATATATACAGTAAAAAGCCACTCCGAGTGGCTTTTTCGTTGTCATTCAAATTAGCTCATTTAAATAGCTTTTCTGACATCTTAATATATACAGTAAAAAGCCACTCCGAGTGGCTTTTTTCGTTGTCATTCAAATTAGCTCATTTAAATAGCTTTTCTGACATCTTAATATATACAGTAAAAAGCCACTCCGAGTGGCTTTTTCGTTGTCATTCAAATTAGCTCATTAAAATAGCTTTTTGGTTTGTCATATATCAAAAGGTTTTTGCATTCTTTAACTGCTGAGTCAAATCTCCTATTTTGACCACGATCCATTCACCCACCGTGTTGACCATGCTGTTTGCCAATGTGACGAAATCTTGCCCGTATGTAACATCTACAACACTAGATGGACAGTTCATCTGAAAAAAAGGAGAAATAGGCCTTAATAAGTAAATTTTGTTACACACAAACATACAGTAATAATAATTTGGGGCCTAATCATCCTTACTCGCATCTGGCATGCTAAATTGAAAAAGACGCAACTACAACGTGTTCGGGGCCGCTGACAAGTAAAGACGCCTATGGTTTTCGCCTTTTACACACAAATCACCCTGACATATTGGACACCTGATGTATAAAAAATACACGTTATAAGCGTATTATAATTACCTTTGAAAGTTGGTCTGTTGGTAGTTTAGCTGCTCGTATTCGGAAATGAAGCTATACAGTTGTACAGTGCTGTCGAGTCTGGATATGATTAGATACCACTGAACTCTGCCTTATAAATCCGACTGGCCATCCGCTGTGAGGGTATCTGGCTTATATAGGAACTAAAAATAGCAACCATTGTTTGCTTCTGACGTTGCGATGAGTCATATCCTGGCTGCCCCAACTAACAAAAGCAATTCATCACGGTCCATTGAATTTCAATAGATGTTTACCCCCAACTGCAAAAGTGTGTCACCCCATAGAGCTGGGTCCTAGCTCTTTGGTCACCCTGAGTCACTTCATATTTTGCAAGTCAGGGTTGGAGTAGACTTGTACGAGTCGTATTTAACACAAGCTCAAAAATGAAAAATATAAATATAGAGGGCCTGGCCTTATTTCGAGACTGAGATATTGAGAGAGATATTTGGGAGGGAGATCATTGGGAGAGGGAGATTATTGGGAGGGATAAGGGGGTGGGGGCGTGGCCAGTGGGTGGGGGAAAGGGAGAGGGGTAAAGTCTGGTACCTGCCCTTCTCCCCATTGGCCCTGTACTACCCCCAGACCTATGGCAAAGTCTGGTATCCGCCCTTCTCCCCCTACTATATGTAAAGTCAGCCGTGCGTTTCTTTCTTCGTTCAGACGTGTTTCGATCGATCGAGACTCTTTGACCCGTGTAAGGTCACATATTTCTTATTATCTTTATTTTTATTATCTCCTGATCACAGAAGACCTTTCTCGCGCTGTCGGGTTTTACCATTTGTGTGGCAGTCCTGTGGCAGTCCTGTGGCCGGCCGTGCGAACACACTGATATACTGTGATCGTCTCCTTTCTTTCTTTATATATGAATCAGCCGTGCGACTTGAAGTACGCTGATATACTGTGATAGTCGCGTTTCTTTCTTCGTTCAGACGTGTTTCGATCGATCAAGCTCTAGATCAAGAATTTTTTACCCCTAAACCGTGTAAGGTCACAGATTTCTTATAATCTTTCTTCTTATTATCTCCTGATCAGACAAGAGCTTTCTCACTCTGTCGGGTTTTACCATTTTTGTGTATTTTAACGTTATTTTCTGTACCAACTCCCCATGGTTTTCTGCCGTGGCTGGCCGCAATGGCTAACCAAACGGACCATCCATTCAGTTCCAGCCGAGCGTAAGCATTAATGAAATAATGTTTACAAAAATAGGAGAAATGATTATATAAAGGATTATTGAATAAACTTCTTTTCATACAAAGGTTAATGAGTTTTCATTTTGATGTAATGCTATGATCTTGTTTGAGGTCTAAACATGGTTCCAGATCATTTTCAACACACTCTAAAAACATGGTGTAAATTTTTGTTACGTAAAGTTGTTGGGTAAAATAATTGAGTACATGTTTAAACAATGATTTAAACCCCAAAACATTATTACGCATCACTTGTGTAATAACAAAATACGAGTTTTACCCTTTCACACGCAACATTTTGCTCAATAATGGGTAGCCTGTGAATTTTACTCCGAAAAGTTGATAAATGCGTTGTTTACTCCGAGTTGGGCAGAAGTTAACTACAATGTGTGAGGTAAACATGTATACATCGTGTTGTAGGCGCGCACGGATTGTTCAAGATGGAGGACGCGAAATGTTGACGTCGTGGGGATTGGCGGAACTCGTCCCCATTTTTGAAGGAAAGTTTGAACTACGAGAGTTTTAGCTCACGACATGCAGCCTTCTCTACCCATCGTAGACTATTTTGGTGTGGTAAATGTGATATGATATGACATGATAATGACAAGACTAGCGATGTATTAAGTGAAGTTCTGTAGCTCATGTTCCACGCTCCATGTACAGTAATCAAGTAACCCTGGGAGGTATAGATCAAAGGTTATATGAATATGCATGGTCCCATTACATCCCCCCTTTTGAGAACAAAATCTATGAATGAAAGTGAGGGTTAAATGAACTAGATTTTGTAGCAAAATTGGAAATACATATACAATGAATTGTCCTGTGTGTCTAAGGAATGAACTAATCGCCAAATTGTCATCTAATTTGCTGAACCAAGTAGGAAACTTTTCTACTGTCTTGCTTATTATCAACAATATATTTTAGGAACTCTTTTTCGGAACTCTATTTTCGGAACACTTTTAAGTAACTTTTCTAAATGACAAAAACAAAACTTAAAATTTGTCTGCATAAAAAAAAAATTGTTTCTTTGTTGAACAAAGTGAATTAAAATTGTCTTTACTTAGTTACTTTTTTCTTTTACGCTGGTACTTCTTTCTGTGCCTTGTAACGACAAAAAAAAATACATTAAAAGAATAAAACTTAAAAAAAAATGAATTTGTTGTCTCTAAGCGTTACTTGAAACAGGCTTATGTTTCAATCAGTCTTTGTGGTTTCTTCACTACGCGGCCACTGCGTGTACGGTATGGTTCAGTAGCCACAGCAGGTAAGTTAGTGATAGAGTTGTTGTTGTCACTGTGTTGTTTCTGATCAGTAGACTTGCTCCCAGTCTTCCTCAGTATAGACTTGGGGGCATGTGGGTTGAGTGACGGGGTATGTACGCTAGCAACTGGTGGGTCTGCAAAGCGGAGTGTCTTTCTCATTGGTTCAGTATTGCGAATGTGCACTCTGTTACGGCGTAAGCTTTGTCCAGTTGGTGTCTGAACAATGAATGATCTGGGTTCTGGACAAGCATCTTTGACAACTGCGGGTGTCCATTTCCCAGTGTGATGATCTTGAACCGTCACGTGTTGTCCCGGTACCAGTGATGATAGTTTGCGCATACCATCACGGTCATGGTACTCCTTCTGTTTGTCTTGGCGCTGGGCCAACCTGGCATACACGTCATCTTTGTCGTGCCGGTTGTGTCGAATCTTCGACGGAAGATTGTCCTTGAGTTTGCGACCATTGAGTAGCTCTGCAGGTGAGGGAAGAGCACTGTCTATCGGAGTTGTGCGGAGGCATAGGAGTGCAAGGTAGGGGTCCACGTTGGACTGCTTTGCCTTTGTCAGGGTCAATTTCACAGTCTGTATCATCCGCTCGATGAAACCGTTACTCCTTGGATACCTTGGGCTTGATGTTACGTGATCAATTTCCCAGTCTTGGGAGAATTTGTGGTACTCACGGCTGTCGTACTGCGGCCCATTGTCACTTATGACTTTGGTGGGGATACCTTGCTCACTGAAGATTTGTTTTGTGAGAGTTATTACCGCTGCACTCGAACACTGACCACTCACGCGACGTACAAATGTAGCTTTGGAATAATAGTCCGCGATGATGAGGTAGTCAGCATTGTCAAAATGGAATAGATCCGTTCCGACGGTCTGCCAAGGCCGCTGGGGTATCTCATGAGGTAGTAGAGGCTCATGAGACTGCTTGCGCTGATGTGTTTGGCACACAACGCATTTCCCAACCAACTGTTCAATGTCCTTGTTGATACCTGGCCAATACACGCACACTTTGGCTCGCAGTTGGCATTTGTTGACACCTTGGTGTCCGGCGTGTATTTTTGCGAGTGTCTCTTGTTGCATGGATTCGGGAATGATGATTCTGTCTCCCTTGACGACTAGGCCGTTGTCGACCGAAAGTTCGTCTCTACACGACCAGTAGTGACGTATGCATTTAGGCAGATCCTTGGGATCCTCCGGCCAGCCAGTCATGATTGTCTCAGACAATGGTCGTAGAGTAGAATCACTAGCTGTCTCTTGCTTGAGCTGAGTGAGTCTAGCAATTGAGAGAACTGTATGGCGTAGATTGTCGTATCGAACTTGATCTGAGGGCCATACGCGGGATTGAGTCGCGAAAGAGCGTCTGCGAGTAATAGTTCGCGTCCCGGCTTGTATACGATCGTGAAATCATAGGGCTGCAAACGCAACATCATACGCTGGAGTCTTGGGGGTGTGTTAGCGAGGCTTTTGTGTTGGATGTTCTCCAAGGGCTTGTGGTCAGACTCCACAACGAACTTTGACCCGTAAAGGTAAGTGTGGACTCGTGTACAACCAAACACCACTGCAAGCAACTCGCGTTCGATGTTTGCGTATCGTTTCTCAGTTTCTGTCAGTGCTTTGCTCGCGAATGCCACAGGTTTGTTGTTTTGCAGGAGTGCCGCTCCGAGTCCTTTCAGAGACGCGTCGACCTGTAGCACTGTGGGTTGTCGAGGGTCGAAGTGGGTGAGCGTACACTCAGTACCGATTAGCGACTTGACATTTTCGAATGCTTTCTGGTGCGATTCCGTTCACTGCCACTCGCTTTCTTTGCGTAACAGTGCGCGGAGTGTGTCCGTATGATCAGCGAGTCTGGGGAGAAACGGCGCGAGGTACTGCACCATGTCCAGAAACTGCAGAGGCATCGTACAGGCATCCGAAGAACTTAATGCAAGGGGTTCTCACCTCGCACTTGCTGAGATTGAAGATCAGGCCGTATTTGCGAGCGACTTGCATGATGTTGTGTAAGTGTTTGTCATGTTCTTCGACTGTAGAACCGAAGACTGCGATATCATCTGCAATCCCCAAAGTGCCAAGGCATTGCTCCTGGATCATGTCCAATTTCTCCTGGAAGATATCCTGGGAGACTTTCAGCCCGAAGGGTAGGCGACGGAAACGATACCGTCCAAATGGCGAATTGAAGGTTGTCAAGATACTGGACTCCTCATCCAGCACGATGCTCCAGTACCCATCGTGCATCCAGCTTGCTGAACACTTTAGCGCCACTGAACTGATGTGTGATTTCTTCCAGTGTTGGCGTTTTGTGATATGTCCGCTTGGAGGCTTTGTTCAGTGCTTGCGGGTCTAGGCACACGCGAAGACTGCCGTTGGGCTTTCTGCTGAATGCCAGTGACGAAACCCAGTCTGTGGGCTCCGTGACCTTGGTAATGACATTCATGCTTTCCATTCTGTCCAGTTCAGTCTTAAGCTCCTCCTTGATCTGGATTGGGTACTTTCGTGGAGGATGTACGACCGGACATGCATCCTCTCGTAGCGTGATATGGTATTCACCGGGGAATTTACCAATCCCAGTGAAGCGATCAGGATACATGCTGTGGAGGTCATCTTTCGTTGGTATTGGCTTGATGGGCTCGCGTTGTGTCTGCGATGTGCGATGAACACCCACGGAACTGTCACTGCGTCGCGGTGTTTTGCGTATCGCACAGTTGAGCGTGATGAGGTGGAGAGCTCGTGAGGTCGGAAGTCCAAGGATTGCCGGACCTGTACGTAGTATCGGCGACGAAGAAATCTGCGTCAAGCCAGTCTGTCTCACTGTAGCTGCATGGAATTTTGACGCATCCGTATTGTTGAATTCGGGTTCCATTGTAGGCTGTGAGAAGCGTACTTTGCGGAAACATGCGTCGAAATGTGCGAAGGGGGAGTATGTTCCCTTGTGCACCTGTTTCGACCTTGACATTAAGCGTGTGTGATCCAGGACGATGTTTCAGTTTGATGCGAAGTATTGCGAAAAGTTCATCGCGAGTATCAGTTGAACGCTCAACGTCATCGTGATTGTGCTGGGCTGTGATGGTGTCGAAAGCGATGTTCTCAAACTGGTCCTGCATATCAGTCACTTCATACTCAACCGCGTTTACCTCGTTGGATTTACGAGGTTTGGAGCGCGATGAAGACCGACGACCGCGTTTAGGTGAGTATGATCCCCTGGTACGCGTGCGTGATTTGCGTGTGGTACGTGGTTTAGTCTTAGTGCCTGCTGTACTGAGGCACATGTGTTGCCAGTGTCCATCTTTGCCGCAACCATTGCATGTTGTGCCGTATGCGGGACACTTATCGCGAGGTCGATATGGGTGTCGTCCACCACAGTTTTTGCATTGTCCTCGCGTCCTGACGACGTCCACCTGGGCCTTGCCAATATGGCTCAGTTGTGCCATATGCATGACACTGCCTTCGTTTGCTCGGCAAATGTCCAAGGCGTCTTTGAGTTGCAGTTTGTAGTCCTTTCGGAGCAGTTTCTTTTGCACCTCAGAGTATTTTACCCCTGAGATGAGAACCTCGATAATTCTCTCATTGAGGGCTGTTTCACTGGCGAATTGGCATTTCATGGCTTTAGCTTTGCATCGCGTGTAGAAGTCATCAATGCTCTCGGTTTCCATCTGGACAAACCGTTGAAATTCCAACCGATGTATGCGGAAATTGTCCTGGGGTTCAATCTGGCTGGAGAACTTGTCCCAGATGTTTTGAGGATTTTTGAGGTCTTCGTCAGTCAGACCCCATGTGTTGAACATACGGAGACCCTCTTTCCCAGACCACAAAATGATATAATTGTGCTGGTCTTTATCCTCAATGTTTTTGACAGCGAACCACATGAGTAGGGGGAGAAGGGCGGATACCAGACTTTGCCATAGGTCTGGGGGTAGTACAGGGCCAATGGGGAGAGGGGCAGGTACCAGACTTTACCCCTCTCCCTTTCCCCCACCCACTGGCCACGCCCCGCCCCTTGATCTCTCCCAATGATTTCCCTCCCCTTCCCAATAATCTCCCTCCCAATATCTCAGTCTCAGTCCCAGGCCAAAACCGGGGCTCAATATCTCTCGTCTTGAAGATCTGTCTCTCCAGGTACCAGATCAAATCCTCACTCTCCCCCGCCCACTTATAAACAGCGCCCTCTAAAACTTTTTCTTTTGTAAATATTAACCAACACCCTCCATAATATTAAAAAGAGTCAGACGTTCAAAATATAATTAGACAAAACAGAAATCATATCTACATTAAATTTATTAAACAAAAATTACGCTATTCCGAAACACTTGGAGCAGGGTTATTTACATTAAAACCTCTATACACACTGATAATTAAAAGCAGACAATATGATCAAATGTCTTTCAAAGTCTCTCAACCAGCAGTACAGTCAATAGATACGCCAGTAGATCATGGCAGTTGCACAGCATGTAAACATAAATTTTGAAGATGCACGATGCTATAGTCCTATGTTGGCGTGTCTGTATAAACGCTTATTGACGAGGCGGTGGCTATTCTTTGGGAACCACTTGATTGTTTTAGCTTGACGACAATGGCATCACTACATCAGTATTGTGTAGGGTTGACAACAGACGATTACTTGTCAACTTGTGATGTCAGTATTTGGTGATTGCTGATGGCCAGATGACTTTTGTTGACAAGTTAAAGTTCTCTTTGTGACTTGGCGTCTCTGTATACCAGGCTGTCAGTAGATATTGGTCCTGTGTCGGCGTGTCCGTATATCAGACTGTATACCATGGATAAACGCTCAGTCATGGAGATGGTTGATATACTGGCTCCCGCGGGGCGCAAGTTATCCTGACGTCACTGCTCTGTGTAAGGTTGACTGATGTTTTTGAATAAGCACGCTCCTGGTCCTGTGTTGGCGTGTCCGTATACCAGACTGTAAAACATGGATAAACTCTCAGTCACAGAGACGGTTGCTATACTAGCTCCCGCAGGGCGCGAGTTGATTGTTTTTCCTGACGTCACTGCTTAGTGTGGGGTTGACTGATGTATTTGATGAATGCTGGTGGCCAGACTCACTTTTGTTGACAAGGTTCCATGAGAAAGTCAGATGCCTTTGTTCATCAGGTACAGATCCACGAAGCGTAATAAATTGAAAATTTGTGCTCTTTTGCTGCACTCGTGGGAATCTTTAGATACATATTGTCTGCTGGAATCAGTCAATATGGACTGTATATAGTCTCTTTACACTTGTGCATAAAGCGGTAAATTAAAAAATGGTTTGGTATGGCATAGAGCAATGAACAGATATGGATATATAAGCATCGATGCGGCAAATTAAAAAAGGTTTGAATTGGGTATACCGCACAGATTGGACTTTTATGCCAAAAATAAGCGGTTTCTTTTTTTAGCGACCGTCACCTAACTGATCAAATCATACAAAATTAAATTTACAAAATATAAGAATTCAACGAGTTTATGCCAACACAAATAATTATACCGTAGTTTGCTGCCAAATATAAGCGACATGTGGGTCTAGTAACATTATCCTAATTTCATTTCTAAGATTGTAGATTGTTTTGAATGGAACTCCTAATTGGTCAAACAAAGGGTAATTTGTTAATAAATTTGCTACAAGACGTATTTTGTTGGCATAAGCTCTGTGAATGCCTACATTTTGTTTAAGCCACTCTTCCCAAGATGTTATTGGTTTTTCTCGACTATGAAGGCAATGAACAGCATCAAGCAACTTTCCATACTTGATGTAAATACCGATTATAGAAGCCTGACGCTGACCAATACCCTTATAGCCAGAAACTAGATGCGGAACAGATTCCCCTAAGGTTTTTATAGTGTCTAAGTTTCTATACAAAGGGAAACTGTTCGTTTGAGAAGAGTGCTGTACCTTACTCAGCAGATGCCTGTGTAGGTCATCGCCGGTTAGCTTAGATTTTGCTTTACATGTAGTTTGACCCAAAAGATACTTTATATTTCCTCTCGGTTTTATCGGTATGATTTGATCAGTTGGGCCATTTAGTTTCAAATCACCAAGAAATGTCAGCATTTCTTGGTGATATTTTACATGTGACTCTATAATTTGTAAGTCCTCTCGACTCCAGTTATAACAATCTTCCATTGGTACATCATTATTTTCCATGGTCGCTAAAAAAAGAAAACGCTTACCTTGTAGAATTGGTGTAAGAAGCTAAAACCCCAAAACACGTCTGTTCTGACAGCGGTCGGTTCATATAGTGAAGCGAAAAAATGGGCGGCGTCTGATATGAACTAGTTTTTGGAAACAACAACAAAAGCGTGACAGATTGAAATTTTGCAGTCCTGCATGGTAGGCAGTTTATTGACTTTGCTCTTGGAAACAACAATAGCGTGACTGATTGAAAGTCACTGCATGGTAGGTGGTTTATTGACTTTGCTTTTGGAACCAACAATAGCGGGACTGATTGAAACCTGACCCAAACAAGTTTTGAAAACAACATAGCGTGACAGACTAAAACCTGGCCCAAACAAGTTTTGAAAACAACAAAGCGTGACAAATTGAATTTTTTTTTGCGGGCTGCACTTTGCTCTGTGTCATGTATGGAGCGCTGATGGTATGGAAAGTATAAAATGAGCAGAAAGGTATGGAGCGCCAATCATACATTAAAAAAAAACACCTTTATTTAAAACAATTAATCATTTATAATAAATGAATCTTTTTCAGAGTGAAAACGTCGAGCTATCTGATAAAACAGATCAGTGCAATCACCATATAATCATCGAGAATGGTTTTTTAGTTTGTGAAACGTGCGGTGAAATAGTCTCGCGTTACTTTGATTTTTCGGCAGAAAATGCGCAAGAAGATCGTATCAATTGGTCAATTTTAAAAAGAAACAAAAGAAAAACTGTGGAGAAACTTATTTTGTCGGTGTGTCCAGAGCAAGACTTAGAAGATGTCCAAGAAACAATCAATAAATATAACGAGCTCGTTAATTACAAAACATTGAGGGGAAACGGTTGCGTCAAACGCTCGTTAATAGCGGCGTGTTTTTATTATGTAGCTGGAATAGACTAAGAACGAGTTAGAGATTTATTTAAAGTGACTCAAAATCAATTTAATAAAGCACTAAAAAGATACGATGACCACTACAATAAAGGCGGGGCCGAGGGTAACACCCTCAGAGGTGAAATAGAGGTATAACTCGGCGGATCGCTTTCATAATGTTTATTTACCGAGAATTTGAACTTGTAAGTTTTTCGATAAGAGATTTTTTTTCTTTTGCCAGCCGTTCGTCTACCCGTTTTTTAACTTCTTTTTCAAAGTCTGTATCGTTTTTAATTTTTTGAAACTTTGTGCTGGTCTTTGTTCTAATTTTTTGTTTAAGCTCGTTAAATTTTGCGAGCTCTCTCGTAATCAATATAAACTCTTCGTGCGATATATCTCCGTCGTTGATGGCTTGAGACACGTATTCTTCAATCGTGTTAAGTTTGGAGTCTGCTAATATTTTAATCTGGTCGTGCTTTTTCAGCTTGGCGGATAATCGCTTAGACGTGATTCTAAGCAGAATATCTACACCAAAAGCGCCTATAAACGTTCCTTCTAGCACCAAT